GCGGTCCTTAAAGTTACAGTGCCGCCCCTTACAATGTGGGTGGCGTCCTCAAAATAAAAGTGATGTTGCCCCCCCCCCGAGTAATGTTGGCGTCTCTTTCTTCTTTAAGTATCTGAGGCGCTCCTCATTGTCATTTTGCCCCACATCACTGCTCACATGGCGCCCTTCAATGTAATGGTGCCACCCCGCAACGCTCAAAGACATAATTGCGCTCCTCACAGTGTCGGTGGCCCTAAAAAATATTGGTGGCGCGCCGCAAAAATCAAAATGATGCTGTCGTCCCTTAGCATATCTGCAGCGCCCCCAAAATGATAGTGCCTTCCCTTAACCGGCGCCGGGCTGAGTTTGTTTAAACCCCCCTCCCGACCCCTATAACTTGGCTACTTAGGCCACGTAGCGACACGCGGTAAGCGGTATTCGAAAGAGTGTCAAAAACTGCTTGGGTTAGTTGGTTAACCGTGCTTTTGTTAGGTCAAGTCAAATGTCAAATATCAGGTGACCAGAGGTCATCAAAGGTGAAATGTGGGTGAAATGTTGTCTGTTTCAACATTTATTGACAAACTGGCGCATAACTCGGGGAAGAATAGAACTACAGCACCGCGAAAAAGCGCATTCGATAGCTCTTCAACGTTCCTATGAAGTCCTCAGACTTGACCTAACATCAACGGCTTAACCTACAGAGCACAACTTGTTTAACCCGTGCCGGGCCGGGGAGGGTTGGAGGGGACAGTGGACCCTCTGCGCCCCTCTACTGAGCTGTTTTAATGAAGAACCTTTTTACTGTAATAATTATTGACTCACGAAAGTTATGACATTGTTTTTTCAGTACTGTGCTCCTCTCGTCGAGATGCGTCGAATGAACTATAATTTGACATTCAAACGTCATTTGGGAAATTTGAGCTCAGGTCCAGGTCATGACCTGGCTGGTAAATGTCATGTTGCATATCAGTCGATTTGTATCGTCAAACTGAAATCATCATATGTAAGGTGTTTTCATCGCTCAGGCATGTCGCATGTCTCTATCAGAAGTTATTGGAAAAAACTGCTGGAGGCCTACCATGACCTGACATGACCTCAAGGACATAACAAGGGGTCGTGGGTGTCAATTTTCCGATTAAGTGTGTCATTTTTGATTGTTTTCTGATGTTTAAATTCGTTAACTTTGACATTTGTCTACCTATAAAAAGAGGCACATGCCCTGATTTTCTCCCATTTCCTTTTACCTAATGGAAGGGTCGCAAAATTGTCCTTACATTTGGTCAGAGACATCGCAATTTCGAGACTTACATTTAACCCTCGCCGGTTGATGCAACCCCCCTAAGGTTTATCGCGAATAACTCGCGTAAAAAGCGGCTGATCGCAACGAAACTTTCAGTACCCTCGAATTGATCAATTTTACACCTACCCTGCAAATTTTATGACCCTGACTCCAATGACCTTTCACCTGTGACCTCTTTTCCGTGACCATGTTTGGCCGAAATCAAGATTCGGCGTATGTCGGCTCGCATTAACCGCGCGTTTGCAAGCTTTTCGTGGTTTCAAACGTTCAAACATGTGATTTGATGTTGCTCCCATGCATTAGGGTGGGTGTCAAGGTCACCTGAAGGTCAGGTCAGGTCATTGACCTTTGGTGACCTCGGTTCACTTTTTCGAGTTTTACATGTTTCTAGGCTAGTTTTTGGAGCTGAATTCGAATTTAGCAACCATTTAAATATTTACGAAGTAGTTTTGGTGCCTTCGTAACATGTTACGAAGCTGTCAGAGGCGGATGACAGGTACTACGAATACCCGGTACGACCCCTACCGGTTGACCTGACCTGACCTGACCTGACCTGACCCGACCTGGTCTAAACGCTTAACGACATCATCTGTGATCAAAACTAACACGATATTTGTGATCAGCACCCCGGAAAACCCCTTAGCAGCCACAATTTACGACTTTCAAACAGGTCCCGATATTCCCGATTTTTGGGTCATTGACCTGACCTGGAAGGTCAACCGATGACCTAGGACCTTGAAATTGGGTATCATTGGCTTCCTCTCGTGACGGGCAACACGCTCGTTTTTTTTCTGCGAAGCTCTAGCTCCATCAGGGGCCAAACGCGAGGGGGGGGGGCCAAATGTACGACCCCCCCCGGGGGGTCGTACCAACCAACCTTGTGCCGTCGAAGGACTCAAAATGGCCTGTGCCGGCGAGGGTTATATGTATATACAGTTACACACTGTTTGTCTTATCAATCGCTGAAGTTATAAAGGGATCGTTCAGTCGGTATATCTATGGTGAGCATTTGCCTGTTCCGTGGCTCAGTTGGTAGAGCACCGGACTCCCCGCATTGTCTTCGCTTGCGTTTTGTCCGCCGGCCGAGCCGGAGAGAAAGTTACCGAGTGAAGGTCATTCAAATTTCAAAAACTCAATGACAATGTCACTGGGGTCACGAAAATGTTTGAGTAGGTAGGTATAACATTCATTAACCTGGGGAGGGGGGAGGGATAAACGTATCGTTGCAATACGCTGTTCATTACGCGAGTAACTAATAAATAAAAAAATGTATGAGTTAATCCTTACTCCACACGCTCTCCCTCTCCATAAAAAAGAGATTTAATTGTGTTGCATTTTATTTATACCTATGCAGAAAAATAGAGGCGTCAAAGGATATGGCCGAATATCAGCGACCCTTGCTGTGTAAGCAATGGGGTATGACAAGTGGGGGTCCAGCGCCCATAAAGTGGGCACACTCGTGCGACCTGCCGACCACTGTTCTAGATAGAGCCATAAAACGCCGTGAATATTTTAAGCTTGACGATACGAATCGACTGGTATGTAACATGTTTACCTCAGGTAAAATTTTAAAATTATTTTTTGTTAGGTCAAATTATAGTTCATTTATCGCATTATGATGAGAGAAATACTATATCCCGGAAAAATAAACGTAATACCGCTGAGCTTAGGTTGAATCTGAAATCATTACTTAGGAAGAGTTATAAAAGAACCGTCGAACGTGTCTTTTTTGGTCATTAAATATCAGTAAGTATGCCGCCCCCTCAGATGCCAAGTGCCGCCCCTATGAGTGCAAAATGCCGCCCCTAATTGTGATTGCCGACCCAGTGAAAATCCCTTAAAATACGCCCTGCTAAGCAACCGAAACAGCTGATGCGTACTCTTATCGCCCGCGTACTCTTACCCGCCCTTACCCTACATTGGTAGGTATGTAATTCCCTTTATATCTTTAAAACGAGGGTCCTATTAACCTAAATTTTTGAAAAATGTTCTCACATTTAATTGGTATGACATGCGGAAGAATAATTCATGACAACAATGATTTCCATTGTTGAAAAAACAACAATTTTCGGGTTGGTGGTATTTCCCTAGATTTCGTGTGAAATCCATATATCCCTAGATCTTCGCTGATTTCCATAGAAAAGGGAAATTTCCCTAGCAGCGGTAACGCTGCTTATTACGGGTGAGACTAAATGCTTACTTCGAAATCTAAGCTGCGTTGCGGCATTGGCGGTTATGTGCGGCGTGTATGCCGCATGATTAGTAAGCGGCGACCACTAAATTAAAAATTCAATAGCTTCGACCTGTTTTCAATGGATAACACTGCATACCAAAAATGTCCATCGCTCTCGTCATAGGATATTTAGATTTAAATAACTAACTTATCTACATCATTGTTTTGAACCAAATTAATACACAGCCGCGAACGTATAAGGTATAACCCCTTGCCGTTTCGCTCCTGATCAAGCTAGAGCTTCGCGGAAAAAACGAGCGTGTTGCCCGTGACGAGAGAAAGCCGATGATACCCAATTTTAAGGTCCTAGGTTATCGGTTGACCTTCCAAGTCAGGTCAATGACCCAAAAGGCGGGAAAATTGGGACCTGTTAGAACGTCGTAGTGTGGCTGCTATGGGGTTTTTCGGGGTGCTGATCACGAATATCATGCTAGTTTTGATCACAGATGATGTCTTCATTCATTTAGGCCAGGTCGGGTTAGGTCAGGTCAGGTCAACCAGTAGAGGTCCTGCCAGGTATTTGTAGTAGGTGTCAACCGCCTCTGACAGCCTCGTAACATGTTACGAAGGCACCAAAACTACTTTGTAAACGTTCATGTGGTTGCTTAATTCGAATTCAGCTCGAAAAAACTGACCTAGAAACATGTCAAACTCGAAAAAGTGAACCGAGGTCACCAAAGGTCAATGACCTGACCTGACCTTCAGGTGACCTTGACACCCACCTTAATGCATGGGGGCAACATCATATCACATGTTTGAACGCTTGAAACCACGAAAAGACTGCAAACGCGCTGCTAATGCGAGCCGACATACGCTGAATCGCGGTTCCGGCCAAACATGGTCTCGAAAAGTAGGTCACAGGTCAAAGGTCATTTGGGTCAGGGTCATGAAATTTTCAGGATGGGTGTTAAATTGATCAATGCGAGGGTACTGAAAGTTTCGTCGCGATCAGCCGCTTTTTAAGCGAGTTATTCGCGAAAAACCTTAGGGGGGTTGCATCAACCCCCCCCCCCCCTGTGCGGGCGAGGTCATGTTTTGATAGCAAGACTGAAACAGACTTATTTGGGTAGCCAGGAAATCGCATGCCAGAGCCTATTCAAATTCTTTTATCGGCCTTTATATGCACCAGTCGCATACAGGTACGGGATTTAGCATACGATTTCCAGACAATCGAACGACTGTTTGGAGACAACAAAGGAAGGAATGAGTGAGTTAAGTTGAAAGTATTAATTTGGTTCAAAATGATGATGTAGATAACCTAGTTATTTAAAGCTGAATATCTTATGACGAGAGCGGTTGGCATTTTTGGTATGCAGTGTTATTCATTGAGAACCGGTCGGAGCGTTTGAGTCTTTAATTTAGTGGTCGCCTCTTACTAATCATGCGGCATACACGCCGCACATAACCGCCAATGCCGCAACGTAGCTTAGATTTCGAAGTAAGCATTTAGTCCCACCCCTTATTACCAGCGGAGTTCTATAGCTTGTTACCAGCGGAGGAAAAGGTGATTAATACGTTTTCACGTGTTTCAATGGGGATAATTCACAATAATTCCGACAGTTCTGTGTAGTAAATCATATAATTGGTTATCACTGTTCACGCAACAACAATTGGCTATAGCCTGCTACTTCAAAACAAAACGGAAACAAGTAAAACAAAAATTCGTAGGGCTCATGTCCGCCTCTTTTCCTCCCGCTGCTCTTCCCGCCTGCCTGCTCGCCGGCTTCTCAGGGTATATTGAGCCGGCTTCTCGCCGCTCGCCTGTTTTGATTGGATCTTGGATTGGATCGGAGCAGGTGCGGACTGGGGTAGGTGGGCGTGTTTGTGTCGCTATTCGCTACTTATTTTTTTATGCGCTTACTTTTTATGCTTACCTTCATATTCATGGCTACTAACTGGTTAATCTGTAGCGTGGCAACAGTTCGAGAGCAATGGCACTGGTGCATGTGATTATGATTAAAATCTATAACCCGGTTTACATAGCATAATTGACGAGGCTCTAGCTCGTTAATTTGGCGATAGTTTCGTTGCAGTGGTCTTCAAATATTTAGAGGGGATCATTTTGTAAATTATTAAGCACCATTGGCATCTTTTGCAACATCACGGACAAAGACATAAGCTTGCAACAAACCCTACGTAAAAGCGTCTATTGATATTGAGATTGAGATAGGGTGGGTAATAAGCAAGCACTAAATGTTTAAGTATGCAACACAAATGTATCTTTCAGAAAACTCTGGATCTGCTTTCGATTTAATGCAATTTTTACAATTTAACGGTTTAACCTTTGCCTGTCCTGGTCATTAGGTATAATTCAGTTAACATTTGGTATTTGACATTTTTTTTCAGAAAAGGTCTGATCTACAATTGTGGCACCATTGATACAAATATACAACAACGGAACTTGTAGGTTGAAGGTTGTGTCAGGTTTTAGGTTTGCAGGTTTTAGGTTGTAGGTTTGTGGGTTGTAGGTAAGGTTAGGTCAAGTTTGAGTATGTTTTTCTTATATTTGTGCCACATATATGTATCATATTTGGATTCAAGTCTCAAGATGTCCAATAATGTTAAAATAGGTATGCAAAACTTATGCTTTACAAATAAATCAGACTTTCTTAAAGGGACCCTCCCACCTTCAAAAAAGTTAATGAATTTGCACGAAAGTGATGTCGCTTGGTTCAGAAAGAGCGGATACGAATATCTACCAAATTTCATCGAAAAATATTCACCGGTTTTCAAGATATTAGACTTTTACGTTTGTTTACTTTTTGGGATCTCCGCTGTTCCTAGCGACTTTATTTGAAAGTGCGGCATTTGTTGCGCGCAAAGCAGCATATACCACCGCGTGCTACCAAACGTTTTAGTAAAAGATTTAAAAATCGTTAGATCTCCGCTGACGTCACAAATTCTAAGGGGGCATACCAATGCACTAGCCCCTTAGAATCCGAAAACTGCAAGTTTGAAATTCCATATCTCCGAATTAAAGCATTTGTCGATGTTGTGAGTGCCCAAACCGGTATTTGCAGGCCATGGCCACCAATTTGGCTATCTCAACTCAAAACTAATGTTAAGGTGGGAGTGTCCCTTTAATCTGAACATTTACCTAGCATTTCATGATGTTGCTTACACAACTTGTCAGTATAGCTCTTCATTGGGCTGGAACAGCACTGGAACAGAAAGTTTTTTTTTGGTTTTTGGAAAGAAGTCACTTCTATCAGATTTTTAAGTCCAAGTCTATCAGCTACCTCAAATATCATGCCGTGATCCAAATATCTGGTTTGATCATTGATTGTTTGCAAATAACATAACGTTTAAGGAAATGCATGGTTTCAGAACACAATATACAACACATTTGTATGCCAAGATGTGTGAACTGATCATTGCCGATTGTCAGTGTAAAGGTCAAGGTAAAGACTCTTTGACCTCAAATGGCTGGATGACCTTGATGCATGACAGGTCATGTGCAATGCATTTATAGACACTGACTCTTAGTCTGCTATCCATTTTGCTCTGAACTATGACCCTTTGGCCAGCATAGGTAAATGAGAGAGTATTTTGAGTTATTAGTTATGACTGAGTTTAATCCATTGGAAAATTAATAAAAAAAAACACTGTAATGCATTGAAGTGCATATCTAGTGTGTATTTATTGACCAAGCTCAGTTTGCTGATCACTACACTGCTCTATTGCCACTGAATGCACGCTTTATGGCACACAAAAATGGCGATGGTCACCTTTTGGTTGCAGAAGTGATGGAAAGCTTCAGTGGCTTTCCTACAAAAAATGTTTTTCTAAGTACACTATGACTACATCCCCACAGTTTGAGTAGAATGTGGAGGCAAGTTTAGTTTGCACTGAGCAGTAATATTCTGAAAAAACGCCTTAATCAAGTCGCACAGGCCTGAAACGCTGGCGCCTGGGGATGGCAGCAGCTCCCCTGCGCGCCGCGCATCCTCCGATGACACCTGCGTGCGTGTTGAGAGCACAGTACGCAGCGACGGAGACGGTGGCGTGAGCGTGGAATAGCATGCCGATGGCGCAGATGCTAGCAGCCATCTCACCTACCGCCCACCGGCAGCGTGAGCGGCGGCGACTCTGTCACTAATCCCGAGCGAGCCGTCGGCTTACCCCAAATGGTAGCCGCCGCGACGACTCGAGCACCGTCGGCGACGTGGCCCTAGTCTCCTTCTTCGCCAAGTGAGCAACGCTCCACCCGCATTCGTGGTACGGAGCTCCAGCCTAAACGTGACTTGTCCAGGCAGGAGGGCAGGGATTTTATCTGCCACGGAGATACGAGGTGACGGAATTCAGTCATCGGCGTCGTTCGCTGTATTAGCATATGGACGGTTCCGTCGTTACTGCGTACTTGGCAACCTCACTCCTACAGATTTGCGATCGTGCGGTCACGGCAGGTCCAGCTTCATTTTCCGTCCGCGTATCAGCTCGGAAGGCGATACGCCATGGTGCTGCAGTGGAATGTGACACGGTACCGCGCCAGCTTTCCAATGAAATAGGTCTGGAACAAGACCTCCCTTTGCTGGTCATCTACCAGCATCCAGGACTTGAGCGAACGGATGAAACGCTCAACAGGTGCGTTTCCCATCGTTCAGTAGACCGGTACTTGCAGGTGATGGATTTTCCGCTCTTGGAGGTAGTCCTCGAACTCTCAACGGATTTTCCTGACGTCACCACGACCCCTCTTTCATCTCGCTGTTGGAGCGAGCTTCACTCACTTGCCGTGATAGTCAACGTGACTGCCGGGCGAACTGTGGAAAGCCGGTGATCGGTCTGACGCGACGATGTCGATTCCAAGCTTGGACCACAGAATGGTTGGAAGCAGAACTGGTGGCAGACAGGCAGGACGAATGTTCTGCCATAGCAATATCTTGCTCGGCTGGCACAAGCCACACGACTTGGCGAGATCAATCGTGACGCGGTCGACACCTGGCCGTCAGCACAGGCTCCGGAGCAACTTCGTACCAACAATGCTGTCGTGCGAAAGCACTGGTCGGTCAGTGCGGCGGATACTACCAGTACCGCTGTCCGGTCCGCGGAGAACGACTGAGTCCGGCCAGCCGCTGGCGATCACTGTCCGCAACTGCTGCTGTGTAGTCCAGAAGAGAAGCATCGACGTATTGGGACAATCCCGCAGGCTCTTCAATCACCGGAACAACTTCGTCACATTTCCGCTGGTTCGATCACTAGTAGGGTGAGACGTGACACCGTGGAGATGTGGTTCCCCGGTGTGTGTAATGCTTCTTAGGCGTATGACCCTGACGGGAGGAGTCGTGTTTGCCGGCAGGAGACTGGCTCCAGCTCTGCCGGAGAATCTATGACGGCCAGCGTAGTGAGCGCTTAGGGATCAGTCCGCAGCGTGAAGTGCTTCCGCCAGAGATACACTTCAAGCGCTCCACCGCGTGAACCGCGCTGAGGGCCTTGCGCTCTGAAAAAGCTACTATTATACTGGTGCTACTTGTCAGTGAAGCCGAGACTCTGCTCACCGACTCACAGCGGCTAGTCGGTGTGAGTCGTGTAAATGGTGCTCCTTGTCGATAGCAGTGATTCACTGAGCCTGTGAGACCAGGAGACGGGCCACGGGGTGTTCTGATCCATCGAGCTGGACCTGGGAGAAAAGGGCACCAGCTCCGTGTTCCGAGGCGCCGGACTTGACGACCGTCGGCAGGTCCTGCTGAAACAGTTGCAGGGATAGGCCACTGGACAGTGAACATCAGTCCCTTGAGGCCTGGAAACATTGCTCCACTTTCTGTGTCCTTGGATGTTTTTAGCTCAACGATACAGATCGACTGAGATTTCCCCGGTCAGACCGTTACCTTGCAGGGGCGTAGCCAAAGGGGCCATGCCCCCCCCCCCCGGAGCCCAAAAGGGGCCCCATCGCGGTGTCATAAGTACGGTAAGGGGCACATTATTTGGGTCCCTTCCAAAAAATAGTGGATGAAATCCGATGACTTTTTGGATTTTGAGGGGGTTTACCTTGGGCCACTGTAAGTTTGACCCCCTCCTGGAGGAAATCCTGGCTACGCCCCTGTTACCTTGACCTTGGTTCAAAATTTAAGCATTATTTTGAAGGCCAAATTTTAATTGGTTGACTTTTGTCGACGGTAGTGCACGATGCCGATAAAATCAATATGCTAGTTTTGAGTCAAAAGTTGAGCGCCGAGCACCGGCGTAACGCGGGTTGAATAAGTATGGTTCATCGTTTAGAGGACATATAGAAGAGTGGCCGGCACAAGTCAGTTCGGGGCTCAGTTTCCACGTGCGCCCTACAGATTTCACTGTTCGCTGGCTCGTTTGTCGTCACTCGTCCCAAAGGTCGTATTACTGGCATATGATCGTCCGCACCATACACATGTGTTCTGGCGTAAAACCATCCAAAGATGAGCATCGAAAGTGTTCAATTTTGTATGAAGCAAGTTTCTCACTATGTCTATGTCTCATTATGTTTCAGGTCTTCTTGTGGACCATCTTCGCCTTTACACAGCCACCATGTATGCCTGCTCAAGAATTGTCATGCCTGCTACCCGGGTAACGGTATGTGCCTGTTTTATGCATTTTGTATTTAGATACGCATATTAGACCTGTCTCATCTTGGCTTTGTTAGATTTGCTTTTTAAAAAAAGTTTAGAATAATGCTTACTCGCAGTATACCGATTAGTGATTAGGTACTGATGTCGGTGTTTTCCAAATGTGTGGTACGGTTGCAGCTGATTCATAGAGCATGCTGCGATTTAGGAAAATCGATATAAAATGCATGCTAAGTCACTTGTTAAGTCTAAAAAGTGTGATGGTGGCGAGCGGTGCAACGCTGACGGTCCGTGCCACCGTCTGTGCCCTCAGGTGCGGCCGGTGACCGCGGCGGCGTGGGCGCCGGTCAGCAGTCCGGCGGCAGCGGCGGCGCCGGCCGCCAGCCAGGCGGTGGTGCCATACCGGTCCATCCAGAACTCGGCAGTCTCGCGCGACATCGACTCTGCCGCCAAGTTCATCGGCGCCGGCGCGGCCACCGTCGGCTCGGCCGGCTCCGGAGCCGGAATCGGCTCCGTGTTCGGCTCCCTCATCATCGGCTACGCGCGCAACCCGTCCCTGAAGCAGCAGCTTTTCTCATATGCCATCCTCGGATTCGCCCTGTCCGAGGCCATGGGTCTGTTCTGTTTGATGATGGCGTTCCTGCTGTTGTTCGCGTTCTAGAGTGGTGTTCGTCACTTTCGGGGATACGGACAGAAATTCGGGTGCTCATGAACTTCTGACTCTGTTAGATATCAATATACGCCAATGTGTACGAGTTCTGCTGTTGAATTGTCACAAAACGTGGTCAAGGAACACAACAGTTATTCGCTGTGGCTCATTGAAAGGCGTAAGTAAAGCCTTGATGCGTCTGAAGTCGTCGAGGATGCTCATAATGCAGGTGGTAAAGCTTGCGGCATTTTAGGCCGCCCGTATGTTATGCACATTTGTATATGAATCAGTCAATGTTTTGAATGTAAGCTGAGAAAACCTGATTTCTGAATGTTGCGGATAAATCGATTAATCAAACGCCCACAAAGACGAAAGCTTCAACGTGTTGCGTTCGCTTGCCTCAAACGCGCTCAAATATTTGTAGGTAATGAAGAAATGGCTTTTAGTCAATATTTTTGCTAAAAGTTGCAAGCTCATGGACTAAAGTAACAGCACTGTTACGCGTTTGGATGGGAAATGGGTACTTTCGGCCTTGGGTACTTTATGGGTTCATGGATGGGAAACTGTTAGAATCTTGGGTACGCCATCTTGGGTACGCCAACGACCCGGAAAATGCTCATTTGGCATTTTACCTGGATAAGTTACAGGGTCGGTGATACATTTTTTTATATGGAAAAATATAATGCCTTTTTATTCTGACGAGTAAAGCCAAATTCACAAAGCAGTTATTTTTAAATTACATGCACCAGAAATAACCTTTAGTTTAAAACTTAGTCTAAAGTTAGCTGAAAAGGGCATAAATGATACCAAGTTGATACTAAGGGTCTGTTCCCGTCGCTCCTCCCAAAAAATCTCGGATGAGGTTGGATGAGCTTGGAGGAGAGCCGTTTCAGAGGAGCCACGGGAACAATTTTCGCGAGGAAATCAGCTGTTTGCGGGCTGTAACGGTCGGCGATTTATGGCGCGCAAACATAAATCAAGAGATAATAATCGCTTTCTAATAAAATAAATCATCACTAAAATCATTTCCACTTCCCTCAAATCTCATTTATAAACAATTCACATTTTTATTACGTGCGCCAAATATGTCTACGCAAGAGCCTCCTCCAAAAAACCAACTTTCGTTTGGGATGAGGGAGGAGGCAAATAGTGGTGGTGAGATGTGAAATCAAGATGAGCTTGGAGGAGCGACGGGAACGATTTTTTGATACGAGAGGAGGTTAGAGGAGCTTGGAGGAGGAAAAAAAGTAAACAACTGGTGCTGGCGAGTGGGTTGCATTTCGGGCGAGTGGGTTGCATTTCGGTAAATGGTTGGTAAGCATAATCCTTTCCTTCCCATCCCGCAAATAATCTCACCGATAATCTGTGAGGAACGTCATTTACCAGTCCATTTCTCTCGGGATCTCCTTCCTGAAAGCGAGAGAAGCTGTCGGACTCGGCACAGCAAACTGAGGCAATTGTGGCGCGGCACATGAGGATTGTATTGCATGTGTTAAGTGGGAGAAGGAAGACGCCTACCTATCATTCAAGGTAAAGGTGTAAAAAAAAACCCTGTATATAACAGCACGTGTCTGTGTGCATGCAGGCGCCTTGCAAGCTGATGTGGGTGTGAGGTGGATGTGCATCGGGCCTCGGAGCATGCTGCATGCGAATTGCTAGGCAAGTTGCTTGCGGGCTTGGCTTGAGGAAAAATCGGGGCTGTGAACATAGCTTTGAATCTTGATCTTGATTATACACACAACTATAAACACGAAATGGGGCCAGGAATCTCACCGACAAATAGCAGGAAAACACCTACAACAAGACAGATCGCGGACAAAGGGAAAGGTAAGAGAGATGCAGAGAGGGCGGAGAAGGGAAAAATGGCCAGGGCAGAAGACAAAGAAAGACGAGTAGTAATGAGCAAGAAAATGGAAACAGAGAAAGCCATTGGAAAACTAGACAACAGTGTCTTTGAGGCTTTTGAACCAGCACACAGATCATCAGTTGACCTGAGTAAGGAGGCAATATGCAAGGGAGGGCCTGGGCACAAATGTGGTCTTCCAGTTGGCTACGAAGATGAGGGAGTGGAATGTGACCTTTGTCATCGTTGGTTCCACGCAGCATGTCAGGAGATACATACGGAAGCATACAAAGCACTCCAGGAACACCCTGACACACTGGCATGGATGTGCAAAGCCTGCAGAAACGAGTTAAAGAACAGGAAGTATCCACACTCAGAAACTGAGTACAGCAAGTTGGAAGCCAAAATCGATCAGTTGGCAGAGGCGCTAAAAGACCAAACAAGAATAATAAGGAAGTCAGCAATCGAAAATGAACAAGCCATTAGAGAAGTAGGAGAGTTTCAAGGGCGCAATATTTCCACATTGCAAGAGCAGAACGAAGCAATGATACAGTGTGTAGAGGAAATGAAGAGCAGGGAAACGGAGAAGAAGACGGAGATCAGGAAGACGTATGCAGATGTCACAAAAGTGGTAGAAGAAATAAAAGAACAACAAGAAGTCATTAAGGGTAACTCTGAAGGTATCAAAAGAGTGATACAGAACAAGGAGTTGGAAGAAAGGGCAACAAATGTGCTGATACACAATCTCCCAGAGAGTAAAGCAGAGAAAGGAGAAGACAAAAAACAGGAAGACATAGTGAAGTTCAAAGAAATAGCAGATGCTCTGGGAGTGCGAGACTTTGAAATTCAGAAGATTGTCAGATTGAGGCAAAAACCTACAACGGAGAAAGAAGATGAAAGAAACGCAAATCAGAACCAGAAAACGAAACCAAGAATACTCCTGCTGAAGCTGAGATCAAAGGAGCACGTGGAGCTTCTGTACAAAAGGAGGTTTGATCTCAAGAGCAAAGGCATAGAAAATACCTACATTACAAGGGACCTACCTCCCGAAGAAAGGGAGAAGCAGAGAAGACTGAGAGAGGAGTGGCTCAAGAAAGGGCGAGAAACCCATGTCATTTCTCGGGGGAGGGTTGTCGAAAGGAAGGGAAACAAAGTAACACAGTAAGAAAGAAAGAAAGCAAGGATGGAAGGTACAGGAAACAAACAACAAACAAGGGGTCGAAGACCGACAACCAAGAAAGTAGAAAGGTTTACAAATTGAATCTCATTAACATACAAGGATTAACAAAGCAAAAGCTGGCAGAACTAGAAGAATTGTTAGCCTACAGTTGTGACATCTTATGTATTACTGAGACCCACCAGAGATATGATAAACTTGAGATTGACAAGAACTTGATCAAGATAGAGAGCATGAGAAAACAAAAGGACAAGAAAGGAGGAGGGCTCATGTTTTTGTATAAACAAAACAGTGGTGTCACTTTAAGTAAAGCCCCTTCAGAGAACGAAGATGTTTTGGAAGTGAGGGGAAGTATATTGAACAAACAGGTTAGGATAATACTTGTTTACATGTCAGTTGAAACAAAACCAGAAGACAAAACACGAAATGAGAAAATCAAACAAGAGCTTGAAGAGAAGCTAGAAGAAAGTCCAGACATGGCAACAATGTTGTTGGGGGATTTTAATGGACATGTAGGGTTCCTAGGAAGCCAAAAAGAGAATAGGAACGGAAAATTTGTCATTGATGTGATAAACAAAAACAATATGATTTTACTGAATGGTGATGACATATGTGAAGGCTTGTATACATGGGGAAGTAAAGAATACAGAAGTGTTATTGACTATGTGCTGGTCAACAGTAAGATGCATCAGTCTATCCTTAAGATGAAAATTGATGAAAGTCAAGAACTACTAGATCTATCAGATCACAACATGATCACAGTGTTTTTCAAAGATGAAAAGTCACTGAGTCTCAATAAAGCTAAATGGAAAGATGAATACTTCTTTAAGACAGACCAAGAATCATTGTCGGGCTTCGTGCAAGAGGTACTACAGAGAATAGAAGCTGATAACATATGCCTAATGGAAGATCTCAATGTGATAATGAAGGACGTGGCAGAGAAATTGCTTACAAGAAGGTACAGAAGAAAAACTGACAGAAAGAATGAAAAAATCAAAGAAAAACCATGGATGACCGAAGAAATACGGAAACAAATCAAGCAAAGGAAAGCCTTCAACAGACTCAGGAGAAATGCAAAGTCAGAAGAAGAAAAGAGCAGATTATATGAAAAATATTATGAGCAGAAACGACTGACAAAGCTACTCATCAAGGAAGAAATAGCAAAGCATGAAAAGAAAGTGACTGACGAAATACGTTATAGTAGCTACAAAAGCAAGGCACTTTGGGAGAATATCAACAAACTTAAAGGAAAGCAAAAGGATAACAGTCCAGTTCGCCTATTCACAGAAGCTGGACAAATGCTGCAAGGAGAAGAAGAAAAGGAAAACTTAGCAAGTGTCTGGAAGAAAATCTATCAAAGACATGAAAACAAGTTAGAAGAAGTGTGGAACGATAGGGCGAAGCTAACCTATACTGCAGATCTGGAGAAAGAGAACCAGGACCAGATACAAATAAAAGGATATAGTTTCCCAATCACACTGAGAGAACATATGGATATGGCCATGAACAGTAGGAAGAGGATGAAGAAGATGGAAGATATACAAATAACTGAGGAAGAAGTCACCAAATGTATAGGCAGGCTTAAGAACAAGTCAGCGGCAGGACCAGATGAACTCAAGCCAGAACTATACAAAGCTTTGATAAAAAATGACAAATGCTTGAAGATACTGACAGGCTGCTACCAAGAAGTCCTCGAGAGAAGTGACACGCCATCAGAATGGAAGATATCAAGGACGAAAATGATACCAAAGACGTCTAAGCCAACTGCCAAAGACTTGAGACCAATTGCTTTAACGAATGTGTCATATAAGATCTACATGTCAATTCTAAAACAGCGACTAGAAGATCATCTAGAAAGCGCAGAGCAAAAGTTAGAGACACAAGCAGGGTTTACGAGAGGAGGAAGGATAGAGGACAACCTTTTCCTATTACAGTACTGTGTGGAAGAAAGCTTTAAAATGAAGGCACCTCTGATTGTTACTTCAATTGATTACAGCAAGGCGTTTGATTCCATCGATAGAGCTAGGATGGTAGAGGTGCTCATGAAATACAAGATTCACCCCAAAATGATTGATGCTGTGGCAGC